AGTTGACTACTGATCGTTTCGAGCTGGAGCACGGCTCATCGATTATGTACCCGCGCACCTTATTATGTACACGCTGTCTCGCGGATATATATTTAGACAGTTCGTTTTCTCTCTCTCGCGAGAGAATAATAATGAAATTATAGCGGTCGCGGAATACACGCCGCGCGCGTAGAATACGTAATATCGCGATCGAACACGTTATCGGCGTGTCGACATTGTAATTTTTTTTTTTTGTTGTTTTTCAAATTAACTTTTTTACGGACACAGCACATCGCGCGCAATTAATGACGAAATCGTCGGGAATGACTTGTAATAACAAACGCGGTGATCGCGGATCATCAACCTGCGCGTGTGTTGCCACGACCGCATTTACTCACGCCCTTGTTGCGGTTACGTGCCTGGGATTTAAGAGAATGACCTAGAACCTGAAACCGTGAACTCTCTCTTCTCCGTCCGCGATTACACAGGGTCGAGGTGAAGAGACTCGCCCTCCGGAGAAGGTTTTAACATGATCGGGCAGCTCGTTACGCGCGGCAAAATGCCGCGACGGCGGCGCGGCGTGTTCAAGAAGAAACGCTCCTCCGCACACAGCGTAGCGAATGCTATTCTTTAATGCCTGTAAAATGTAAAAATAATTTACACGCTGTATAATACACGCCACTGCCTTTACATATGCAAATAAGACGCGACGTGCTCAACAAAGTGTCCAATGGCGACTCGGTGAGCTTCGTCTGATTTATTCCCGTGCATTCAAGCAAATATGCAGGAGTAGATCTTCTCTTATTTTCTAATTTGTTATTTAAATGTATTGTTAGAATAATTAGCGTCGCATTAGTTGCGGAGTTATATAAAAAAAATCACGTCAAAACAAGTACCTTTATGACATTTCTCTTTTCTCTCTCTCTCTCTCTCTTTCTCTTTCTCTTTCTCTCTCTGTCGTAATAACGATGTTTAACTAAAAGCTGTTTTATCAACCGTTCACTAAGATAATAGCGCAGTAGCCGGAAATTGCACGTTCATGATACTCGAACGATCTGAGAAAATTAATCAATAGCGATATCAATAGGTTCTCAAAGAAGATCGGATAATGGCCAATATACTTCGAGCGTAATATCGCGTATCTAACAGGAAGGAAGATAAAAGTTTCCGATATATATTGCCAAAACATTTATTCTTCATAAATATTCATTAGAACAACCATACTCTAATCGGGTAGTTCTACTTCTGGAATAAACTTATCGGATCCCACTTTGAAAAATCTCAACCGTTTGCGTTATCGGACACCCGGTGTATTCTTAGCGTGTGCGTTTTTTCTCTCTCTCTCTCTCTCCTTTTCTTTTATCAGCGTGTTGAGTCTCGGAAAACATCCCCGGCGCTATGAATCGCGCTCACAAGCAAGAACTCGCGAGAACGCCGCATTCTCTCGCCGTTTTCTTCCTCTCGCGAGAGGAAGAAAACCGCGTCGGCGCGCGTTTCAGTCGACGAGACGAGTGTTTCTTCGGAGAAACGATCCCGCAAAGGATGAGAGAGAAAGAGAAGCGGCGTAGAAGAAGCGAATGAATTTGCTCGCCCTTTGCCGACCGTAGAAAAAGGGTCGGCTCGGGCCGGAGACCTTGGGTCGCAGGAGGAATGCAAATCGAGACCGGTCACGAATATTCTAATGTGCAGTTAGTCGTTACACGACGAAGGGGAATGGCGCAGCAGCCAACAGAGATTGCACCCGGGTAGCACGTTCGCGCATCCAGAATGTCCCTCTTACGTCACGATTCCGCGATTAGATGCTCCGCGTGCCACCGAACCAGTCGGAACGCCATTCGGAACGCAAATGACGACGTCGAATCTCGTAATAACGACATATTCGCCGTATTTTTAGTATCGCGTAACGGGCAAACAGGTTGCCGGTTGTTCTTTTCCAATTTATTTTTCCCCGATGGCTATCGATTTAGCCGGTTGTCGTTTTGGCTATTACTTGAATATCGGGGGAATAATCGGTCGGGAAGAATCGTTCACATTATCGATCGTTCAACTTCTCCGCTTAGCTGAAAATATATTACTCCAGTCGTAAATTTTGATTTTAATCATCTCATCGATACGAGATTTTTACGAGATACCATCATCGACACACGTAACAAAAAGCTAACGATTTACTATCTTCGAATAAATGCTGGTTTTGTTATATCTGTATCGCGAAATGGAATTCATAAATGAATGTCCAGACGCGCAACAACTCAATGTTTTTGTTTTAAATTGAAGATATAAGACGCGATAAGACACGGTGTTGATAACGCGTTACGGGAACGACGCTCGTTCCCGAGCGTGAGAGATTTAGAGAGAGACGTAGAAACGAAGCTGGGAGACAAAAAAAATCGTCGTCCGGTGGTTTGCACGATCGAAACCCGGGATAACCCCGGGAGAAAATGTTGCCAGGTCCGTGTAGAAGACGGGTGATAGATGCGAGCGGACACGATGGTGGTAGAGAGTTCACGGAAGAAATACGCGATACGTGGAAGAGAAGCCCTAGGGAAAGCACAGGTTCCCAAGGTGCCCCGAGAATTTCGCTTTACGATCGCAAGAACGAACGTCTTCCTTCTCGTTCGTCTCCCGATTTTTCTGTTCCGGATTATTCCGAGAATTCCCGGCCGCGAATCCGATCTCTTACGATTAGTTTTTGTCAGTCGGGCGTCTTATTTTCTTACGTCATTTTTTTTTGTCGCTATAAAAATTTATTGCCTCGCTCGTGGGATGACGTAACGAGCCGGGCTCGAATAACTCTGAGAGAGAACATCGCACAACGGTCTGTATACTCAGTTATCATATGTTTAAAAACTAAAAACCTCGAGACTACTTATTTATGTAAAATTCGCCATTGAGTCGAATTTTCATAGTTGTCCGTGTTGATAAAATTATATTTGCGAAATCTTATGTGGACACACAAGTACGGACTCTTCGTACAGTTGACGCATAGCAAGTCCGAGTCGAGTGGTAGATGTAATTTGTACAGAGGTATCTCTCTTCAGAGGTGAGAGAAGTTAGCAGTCAAGGCTCCCTCCTCGAAGTCATTGACATTGGCGGCCGGCACGAAGAGACCTGATGTTCTTCTACATCGAATGGCTAATAAAACAGCGACACTCTCATTGTACGGTCGTTACTTACTCATCGTTTTCCAAACAGGCGTGAGATTCGTCTTCCTTTTGCAGTTTGTTCACATATTATCTCTTTTTACATCTCTTTGTCTTAATTTTACATTTTCCGAATTCGAAGTCTCGTTTAGAAAAAGAGAGAGAGAGAGAGAGAGAGAGAGAGTTCTGCGCTTTGTTTCGAATCCGAGAACTTTCAGACCGGTCTGATGTTTGTGCGTATAGTCCGCGGACGTAGTTCTTTTATAAAACAGCATTTACCTGACGGAGCGTTTGCGCGCTTCTCCGCGCAATTTTGTTTCGGTCCGCGTTCTAAAACGTGCGCGGCGCGGCCACTTTTTTGGCGTGTTGCGTGATGAGATCTATTATCTCGGATGACTGTCCTCTTTCGCCGGCTTCTGCGAACGTGGAACGCGCGCCGGTGAACGTCCGTTTCTCTCCCGACGGGACATTTGTACGCATCATCAGTTGTACGTTGTCAGCGTTATTGCGACGGCACTTGTCACTATCTTTCTTTATCCCTCGTCTCGCAAAATCAATCGACGTTTTTTTCCCCGTTTCTCGAACACGCGTGTATAAAATAGTATCGCGGATATAAATAGATACAAGGAGAAATATATGGACGGCGGTAGTGCAATTATTTTGACAAGGAACGCGCGATACAAATATGTTTCTCAATTATTTTGCAAACATCGAACAACATTTTTCAATCAAACGCATTTTTAGTTGCGTTTTCTTTCTCCGAGGCTCCGAAGCGAAAAGCTCGCTTGATATTCCGCACGACTGGCGTACACGAAGATATTAGAGTGCGAAATGACGTGAGTGCGTGCCGCTGAGAGATGTCAAGCGGCTATAATTCAAGCGACAATCTTCATCGGTTGTCACCTGCCGTGACTCGGTCATTAGCTATGCACGACACGTGGAGGCGTCACTTCCTTCGACTCAGCTTCCGGCCGCCGGAAACGTCCTTCCATCGTGGCTGAATCCTTAAATGAAAATGATCTCTTCCCACCCCTCCGCCGTTCGAAAACGATGTGCCGAGACGCGGTGCATATCGTCGTGTGCATCGTTGCATAATATCCATCGTTGCATGTCGTCTTTGCACGCGCCTAAGTACACGTTTTACCGGTAAGCAAACACAGAAGGAGAGATTGTCGACGCGCGTATATGAAGTTAGCACTTTGACATTAAAATTCCGGGATTCGAGTTCTCTTCACTTTATTTTATTCCGTAGTTCCGCGGAGACTAAGAGACTCTCGACGACGATATCCTCGGGGGACTCGGGAAACCGTATTATTTACAACATCTTTAAATGTCGAGATGATTCTTTTACGGGGAGAATCTTAGAGATAACTTTTTTAGTCGGGCAAGTTTTATACCGCGAACTCTTGAGAAAGCGTTTTAGAAGACTGGTTAATAAATAACGCTTGTAAATTGCTTCTCTCGCATATAATAGAAGAGACGCATAAATAATCCCGATATCGCGCGCACGACGTAAACGTTCGAGAACGTTAAAATTACCTCATTATGTGAGTCTCGCTAGAGAGAAGACCCATGCACTCTCCGCGGTCGATATTAAAACCGGAATAAACTTGAGAAACGAATCGGAAATATATATGTCGCATCGCGAAAGGCTGATTTGGAATTTTTTTTAGTGTCCTACAAAACGCTCGTTAGCGACAATACATTTGTGTCTGCGTGTAAAATAACGAGGGTAATTTTCAATTACTTCAGCATTCGTTTGCGATCGTAACGATTCTAACGATAAATGAAATCGGTTTCTCCGGTGGAAAAATTGCGATTTCCCCCCGACGTTTCGTTCGCACTGAAACATCGGTTACAGCACGATTTTGTTGTCGACAGCAATCGATACGGGCTGACGAACGAGGACTTGAACCGACGCTGGAGCAATCCCAACCAGGTGTATCATCCGGTGATCTATCACACGAAGGGCTTGATGGAGTATTGCGCGAGGGTGCTGCAAAGGCCGCCCCACGTTTTCGTCGACTACCACGGCCATTCGCGAAGGAAGAACGTGTTTCTGTTCGGCTGCTCAAGGTCGGGTTCCTGGAGCGCCGCGGACAGAACGAAACTGGACCTGCCGATGCAGTATTTGGTAAGAGGATCGATGGGAAGAGGGAATCGGTCAGGTAGTATTTTTAGATCCCGCGCTTCGCGGATATCATTTGTCTTTTACGTTTATCTCCCGGTCCCGGTTACTTTCAACGGCCAATGCGCGCGTTTGATTTGCGCGAGTAATTACAACGCCCGACGATTCATTCCGCGCGTCGTCCCGCTGCGTGATAACGTCATTAGTCAAGACGTGAAGAGAATGCGAAGCGATATCGCTCTCCTGACCATAAAACTGCGCACCTATATGACTTTTTGCCGATGTTCTCCGGTCTCGTAATCTTCTCTACGTTCTGTGTCAGATGTTACCGCATCTCATGCAGAAGATCTCGCCGGCTTTCGCGTTGCCGCTCTGCTCCTTCAAGGTCGAGAGAAACAAGGAATCCACCGCCAGGGTCGCCGTGTGGCGGCAGTTGGGTGTTTCGAGGTAAATGGCGGCTTATATGTGGCAAGATCAAGAGTTGAGGGAATAATACTTTTGTTTTTTTAGAGATTAAATTGTATTACACACATGTAACTTGATTGAATATATAAAATACTATGAATCATACGGAAGATAATCTCCAATTATATAGATATGTGAACGGTTTCTATATATATGTATTTTTATATGTACACATTCAAAATTGAATTTTTATAATTGCACTAGAATATAAAATTTAGCACTTAAATTTTATTTAGTATAATTAAATTTCATATAATTAAATTAACGGTTTACTTGAACAGAAGTTATACAATGGAAAGTAGTTTCTGCGGATGCGATCAAGGCGCATTAACGGGATTGCATTTCGACACGGAGCACCTCAAAAACATCGGCAAGGATTTTTGCCAAGCTCTATCTATGATGAAGAACGACGGTGACGACTGGATTGTCGAAAAGTACGTACAAATATATTGTGTTACCTATCAGGAGGATAAGGGAGAGGTTCATTTTTGTTGCAGAAGTAAATATAATTAAATATAAACTCTCTCTCTCTCTCTCTCACACACACATATCTTACACACACATCTTGAATAGAATAATAAAAAAAATCAAATTGTACAAAAACTCGAGATTTCAATATCTTGTCTCTATAAGAGAGGAATATTACACATCCGAGAGATTTACAATCGACGATGTTTTAAATCTAAGTTAATGTATTAACGATCGAAGTAAAAAAACCCTACAGATTAATGTAATTATTAGATCGACAGAGCAAGCCTGTTGCCCCAGAAAGTGTGTCTTACGAAAGTCGCGGAAGATTCCAAAATGTATTCAGGATAGACACGCTATACATCACACTACGGCACTTTCTTAGCAAACAATAATTAAGTGATTACATATTATAAGGCAAGATTTACGTCTATGAACGTATGCGCATCGCAAATTTTTTTAACGCTTCTGCTGAAAATTCTTTTAAGTTAAACGTACAATATTAACCTGTCGCACTCCGGTCAATACGTGACACACTTATATGTGTTTTATTAACAACAATTTTTTAACTTAAAAACCTGATTTTATTCCTAGTTTGCCAAGTATTTATCTAACGTGTGTACCCCCCGATGTTCAAATTAATTGACAATTTGTTACTTTAGTTCGCAATATATCTTTCTTGTTAATTGTGCGTGTTATTTTTTCTTCTAGAACACCTAGCGGGGAACATATTTCCGAGGAAACAGGATGCATGGGCAATGACATATCTTCCAATGAGGAATCAAACGATTCCGATTCCGAGGTTTGAAAGATATCATAGTCGAGAGTGGTCATCAGACCGCTAGCCTATATTTCAACGTCAAAAGTTTCTTTTACGGTTATTCAATTTTCTATAAAAAACTTAAAAAATTCCATTCTAAATAATAATACGACGAAAAGTATAATGCTTAATAAACAAAACTAAAAATATTGTAAACAATGTTTATTTAAAACTGGTAACAAACATCAGGCCTCCTACATTCTACATCGTAAAGTATATATTTGTACATATTTGAAAAATTTAATTAATTAATAATAATACTTAGCCAATTAAATTTTACAATGTAAACATATTGTAATTTTACAGTGTAATTTTACAGATTATTCGCTACAGGTTCAATATGTAAGAACACACTAATTTAAGAACGTTCAGCCGCGTGTTTGTGTTTATTAAGCAGAAATGAAAATTTGTAAATTGAATGAACAATCGCATAATAAATGATATTTAAAAGTTTTACGTAGAATTGAATAAAATAAGTTTAAAATAATATAACAAGTGGTTTTATATATCGTTACCTTCATATTTTATCTGTATATATGTGTGTGTGTGTGTGTGTGTATCTTCGCACTGTTTACTCTTAACACATATAATTGTACAAATATAAGAAATAAAAGTTATTGAGCTGCGAGAAGTTTTCCGTAGAAATTCGTAAGATCTTGTCATATGTAAAACTTTTTGATTTACAAAGTTTTACATAACGCGTCATAACATTGAATTACTTATAAATTTTGCATTTTTTTATTTTTTATTATTTTTTTAAATTATTCTAGTATGTTACACACATTTGATATAAATGTTTTAAAAGAACAGTATGTGCAGTAACGTGAACAATAATTCAGTGTGAATAAAATCTAGAAAAAAATAGTAAAAGGTATTTGAATAATTGAGAAAATTTGTGCAGTGCGCACAATACTGATTTCAATCAATGTCGTAAACATTTCAAAAGCAAGAAAACAATAGATTTATAATCTAGCGTTTTTTTTTTTTTTACGTTTATATTGCTAAAATTTGTAATGCTTATAAATTCGTGGCGTTTTCTAACAAAAGCAGTATCGTTTACTTTTCTTCACGTTACTTTCAAGCGAAAGTGTAATTGAAAAATCTAAAATTTGTGTAATTGAAAAATTTACTACTTCTTTGTAAAAACATTTTTCGTTATTATAAGCATAGTCAGTCAAGTTGTACAGTATACTCGAATACGTCATTTGAAAATCGGATAGTTCGATTCATTCGGCGCAATATACATGTACACATCTATTGCGCGGATACAGTTCAAAACAACACTTTCTCTCTTTCGTTGAAGAATTGGCAATTTCTCATTTATAATTAACAAACGCATATTCTTAATACTCTTGTAAATTTGGTAAGTGTGTTTGTTTAACTTCATTGCTAGCGAATTAAATTATTTTAATGGCAACGTGATCGAAAAAATTTGTCAAGTAAACTACGATAAAAATTGTGCCCTGTAGAAACGTTAATTGACTGAATCGAGTTATGTCCGTGTAGTGTATGCAAGAAATATCGTGCTGTGTGTTGCGTCTCTCTCTTTCTCTCTACAAACGAGTCAATTTCTAATTAAATCAAGTAAGAAAGAAGAAATTATTGGTTTGCAATCGTAATTTTTTTTTTTTTTTTCGTGAAACTCTAGATTCAAGCGGATATTGGGACGATAATATTATTGTCTGTTTTGCGTCAATGATGCCCGGTGTTATTATCGGTATAATTCACATTTTTAATGTTTCTAATGCCTTACAATTATACAAAGCGGACGTCGCAGTCCAAAAAGTTATCAAGTGCGTGTATCATCCCTACGTTTAACCGAAATGTCAGAATGAACGAAATAAGATTGCAATTCTATCGCTTTTTGTACGTACTAAACTCACTATTTCCACAAAAGCGCAAATAATTATTAAGAGTAACGATCAAAAAATCTAACATTGAATAATCAAATAATTTGTATAATAAGTACGCCGTCTAATAATCTACATCTAAAGCAAAAGAAGAAAAAAGCAGCAGTAAGAGGATTATTTATCGTCGTCGTCTAACAGCTGGAGTTACATCTTATGTTTAACACATGATATATTTTTTTTGACGGAGTATATATACGAGTTTCCGGTCTACGTTTGCTTTGCTTATTTTTTTTTTTTTTTTTTTTTGTCTAAGCGATTTCTTCTAATGAAACAGTGAATCTTTTTGCGCGGGAATATATTTTGAGTCGGTAGACTCCGAGGAACTTTTACTCGATGCCGTGTAACTTCTTCATCTGCAGCTTGATCTGTTCGTAAGTCACCCATAGTACGATGTTCCAGGATACCAGGCGCGAGAAACTCGGCACGAAGCCCTTGTAAAAGGCGGACGGGCCCTCCTGAACAAACATGCGGACGGCGCAGTCGATCGCGCCCTTGTACTCTCCGGGGGCGCTGTTCATGTAGCGCGTCTTCACGACGTCCACAGGACTCGCTGCCAGAGTGGTGCAGAGTCCCGCGACTGTCGCGGCAGTGAAGTGGCAGGGCACGCCGTCGCGGAGATAGCCGCTGGCCAGGATGAGATCCTTGATGATGTCGTAGCAGACGATCTCCGCCACGTTCACGATGGCGTTTCGCGAGATGTTCGGCATGGTTCCTACACGTGTGAGAAGAGAAATGACGCGATTCAAAATAACGTCTGAAAAAATTATTCTGTACCTTGGGCTAATATAATTTGAAATTTTCTACATTGATATTTTTTAAAATCGTTAAAAGAGAAACGCGCGCGCGATGATTTTTTCTTTACCTTTCCAGAGACCTTTCGCGCCTTCCACATTGGCAATATTCTTGTACGCCTGCAGAGTGGAGCTGTACCTCACCGATGATCGTCCATTATTTCCAGCTTGCAGACGGACCTTGACGACGTCAGTCGGTTGAGCGAGCAACACCGCCAAAGCGCCCGTTGTGATCCCCGCGGCGACGCGCACGCCGATGTTTATCGATGTGGAACTTCTATTACCTGTTGAAATAAAAGCAAATGATGAAAAGCGACGGCCGTCGCGAGGGATCCGATTGATAGATCGTAAAGTAGAGGATGCAGGGCGAGATCGACGCGGATTACGCGTCGATCGTCTTTCATCGGTTCATTATAAATGTGTTCTTCACTTAAGATTTATATCTATTCGTTTTTTCTAAACGAGATATCTTTACTGTTCGCAAGCGTACGTTAAGGTTTTTTTTTTTTCAGATTCATTCTGGTGTCAATTTACAAACAAATAAAATGCATTGTGCTCGAGAGAATGTGTAAAATTCCGTGATCACTCGCGAAAATAAGAATTAACACGTCGACGGAACAGCGATCACGAAATAAAGAGACAAACAAGCGTATACAAAGAGCTGATTCTAATTTCTTGGCGTAAAAATCTGTTCCGTTAATTACGATCGTCTGTGTATGTTCGACTTACGTGCAAAATGCGACATATCTATTGTTTTCGAATATTATATTTAATTTATATTTATATTTCAAATTATTTAATTTAAATTCACAAGTAATTGTCGTTAACTTTATATAAACTTTATACTTTTTTCACGCTGTATTGAAACATACACAAACAAAAAAACGATACATAATTCGCGAATTTCTGCTAGTTTCTCTCGCTCTGAAGATTTTTATAAACGTCCTTGTAAAATATATGAATATTCGTAACAAACATCAAGAAAAGCCGTTGACAAATAATTGTGACGAAACAAAACTTGAGAAAAATTTCAATGATTCGTCAAATATGTTTTACGAAACAATTTTATATATATAGATTATTATATTCACAAGTAAAATATATTAAAAATATATTATATATTTGTGAAACAACAAGTATGAAATTGAATTTAAACTTTATTTTGGCGAATCGATATTTTTCTCCGAATTTAAGTGAATTTTTTGTAAAATGCAAATATACAATAATATGTAATAATCTTTCACGATCGTCAAAAAAAAAAAATGCAGCAAATAAGAGTTACAAAAAATCGTTCGAGTCGTTCCGCTTCAGAGATACTGATCTCTGTGCTGTACATTTTAATCTTTTAACTTTCCTATTTATTCCCACCTTCTTAACTTATCTTTCTGTCTCTTTCTTATTTTCTCAGCCTCGAAAATGACGTAGACGAGAACGAGAAAAGACACGCACGTTCCGAGCGTTCCAGCAGAGGCGAACCGCTCTACGTGTGGAGCTTGCAAGAGCTTTCGTCGTGACAAAGCAAGTGGCCGAGAATTCACAATGTGTGTCTTTCTGTGTGTGTGTGTGTGTGAGTTTGTGTGTATGTGTGTTTGTCGTTGTTGGACAATATTCCATAAGAATAAGTATCTTTTCAATATTTTCATTTTCAATATTTTTGTCTATATCTAATATTACTCTTGCTAAAATTGAATAATTTTAAATCTATCGCGTTCTCTTTTGCATTTATTTAATTTTAATGAACATGAAATATTTTACTCTTCTCCATGTAATTTGTTTTATTATTTAACGCGAGGTTTTATATATCACGTACAAAATTAATAATAATTAACGTAACAATAATTAATAAATATATAATAATTAGATTTAATCGATTTTTATCTTGCAAGTGTTTCTACATTATGCTTGTCGCAATGTTGCAAAATATTGCCCAACACCAGTATGTCTGTTATTCGTGTGTATTATTGTAAGTGTGTGACGAAACATGTGTAAAAGAGAGTGTGTGTGATGCGCGGCTACTCGCATATATTGTATATCGTAGGAGATATATTATGAAAAAGTTAGGAGTTTGTTGGATGTACCGTCGAAGATTCCAGCGTAGAGTGACTTCACGCTGTCGTAGAGGCCCAACCGTATGCCGGCGAAACACATCTGTCTCTGGAGTCCCGCGGACAGACCTCCGTACAGGCTCCTGTAACCACCCTCGCTCAAGCTCACCGCCCTCACAATTCACCCCTCAAACGCATCCCCGGAGCATATCTTTTCTCCAGACATTTCTCCCTTTCTCTCTCTCTATCTCTCTATCTCTTACTCTCTGTCTCGCTTATTTTATACATTGCTTGCGTAAGTAAATATATTGTTTAAAAATTTTCTTTAATTTTTCTCTCTCTCCTCTTCTCCCTCTTTTTCTCTGCCATCCGCGCGATTTTTTGCTTTACTTTCTTTTTTTGTGTTACTTTCCTAAACATCGAATGCTTTAGCGAAAGTCAACATTGTTAAAAGAGAGTTGATTTATGTAAGATCGAAGGCGTGTTGAGAGAAAAGAGAAGCGGCCCGAGAGCCGAGAAATAATTAGGAGAGAGCGCGTCCTTGTTGAGGATGTCAATACAAAATGCAAATATTGTAATATCACGATAGAAAATTTAATTAAAAAGAAAAAAAGATAGTCAGAAAAAAATAAGTCAATATTTAAACAAAGTAAAAGGAAACAAAATAATCAGAAGAGAAACTGAGAATGAAAAGAGAGAAATTGTTTGAGAACTTAAGTAAAATATACATTACAGAGGGGAGACGTGAGAGAAAAAACATAAAGAGCAAGTTGTCTTTCAAGCAACATCGGTGTAACGCAATCGTCGAGTGTAAAAAAAAATGTTTCGACATGTGATTGCATATAAAACTATTTGTGCAAAATGTCACGTATCACAGACGTGAAATCGTCTCGCGCTCTGATAAATTTTGAATATTTTGTACAAAGAAAAGAAAGAACAACGAAGTTCGATTCGTCAAATTTTTACGAACGAACGATAATCGCGAAATGTGAAAAACAACTCGCGTGCAAAGAGAGATAAATTATAGACAATAAAAAAAAAAATGCAAAAATTTTTAAATAAAGACAGAAAAATCGATCGGAGTGCCATCGACAAGACTTTTTTACGTATTTGTCTCGTTCTACATATCTTCCGACCTCGTATGTTACGTTAATCTCGCTTTAATCTTGCTCGCGCGTAAATTGCTTCTACGTGGATAGAAAATGAATAACTCTTGTCCATCGCGTCCGATCGATAGGCGAGATCAAAATCATAATTATCCGGAAATTAATGATCTAGAAAGGTTTCCCGGAAAATCCAAGGAAAAAAAGACTAGTCGTTGGACATACACGTACATGTGCCAGATATCGAGCGAGGTTTCAATAGAAACGCGCGTTACGTGTACTATTACCGCAATCATTTTGCATCGATCCTTCCTTCACGAACGTGAAGTAACAAACATTTAAAGTATTAATCGATTTACGTCTTCAGTATTTAACGAATACAAACATTCGACTCGTATAAACACATCCATATATGTGTGTTATATTTATAATCAGATTACAAAGCGAATGTGTAATAAAAAGAACAGTTTTCTATAAACAGTTTCTTGTTGTTCAAGAAAATTTGTACAATTAATGAACATAATATTTTTATTTTTTTTTTTTTTACTGCGATTGATTAGACACTAATAAAAACTCAATTGCATTGTTAATAAAATTTTTATACGTATCTAAAACGTAAAAACGGAGTCTTACATGCGATCAATTCGATCGACAAAAAAACGTGACGAAAGAATCGATCAGCTCGACCTGGCACACGCCGTAACAAGAAGATTGGTTAATAATAATAGTTGTGCATTACAAAGTATATATACACATTATTTGGTTTCGGAAAGAGATCGATATATATGTGAAACAATTATTCTTATAAAACAATTACGAGAGCAACAGTTCCGTATGAGCGGTTTCTTAGTATGAGGTTTTTTTAAAAATCGAATCATCGCCCAGAGACAAGAAGAGAAGCCCAATTTTTTTTTTTTTTTTCATATAACATACAAATATATATCTCAAAATTATGTACAATCAATTGAGATAATTGATTTTATATGAAATTAATCTACCTACCCATCGTTTCTTTTTTTTTAAATTATTATTAGAATAATCAACAACGTACCCTGCGCCTTCGAATCTGACGATGTTGCCGATGGTCTGCAACAATCCCGGCTGGCTTGCTCTTACCGCAAGAACCGAGCCTTCCGCTGACGCCAGCAATAGGGCTTGACCCTCACCGGCGATCTTAAAAGATTAAAAACAATAAGTAAACGTTGCACAATTTCTGAACAGCAAATATATGGAATAATCGCAAAATTTTATAAACAACAATAAATTAATGTCGCTCACCTGCATTCGGACTTTGGCGGTGTCCAACGGAAAGGTAGCTAAATCGGCGATGCAGGCCGCGGTGCCAGCGGTGAGCAACTTCAAGCCGATCGAAAAATCCTCCGTTACTTGCTTCATGATTTCTCCGCTATGCTTTCTATATCTCCGGTTTCTATTATTTCTCCCCTTTATTACTGCTACTGCGTGCTGTTAAAAGGTGCGCGTTGTTGTCGGCTTTGTGTGAAGGACAGGGTGCGAGATTCTTGGACGAGAGACGCTTCCAGCTCTGATTTCTCTCCGCGTGACAAGTATACGAAGTACTCGCTCGTCCGAATTTCCTTACTTTTTTTTTTTTTGGTTTTTTGTTTCTTGTTGTAGGGGCAAGCTTCCTATGTACACTATATACAAAGTCCTACCAGAGGACACGAGAAATCTTCAGATAATCATGAATTCAGCGGTGGTTTTAAAGGTGAGGTTCCCTGAAGTGATCGGGATAAGCGTGAAGACCTCCCGACCGCGAGCACTCGTGTTTGATTTCTTGGTGATGAACTTCTTTATACATACTATTCTTCTGCGAACAAACGGTGCGAAAAGGAATGTTTTTAATAATAAACTCTGCTACAGTCAATCGTCGGGATCGATGCCGAGCGCGTTGTCGACCGTTTCTGTCGTCGCAGCGCCCGACACCTATTATATACTTTTTATATACTACGATAAAGAGGATCATACGATGCTTCATCATATGAGCGAGAGATTGGTATGAACGCAGTGTGCGCGAGTGAGAGCCAAAGGTAGTGCCAATTCGCGTGTTATCGCGGGTCAACGATATATATTTCTCTCGCGACCGTTGATCGGTGTCGAAAATTCACGTTCGCCGATTCGCGACGCGCACGTGATCGCATCTTCCGGCATCTTGACTAAGAGCTTGTTAGAAATCGTCGTCGTCGTTGCGGTATGACATACCGTTGCGCGTATCAAAGGTCAGCGAAACCGCCTACACGTCTACCGCAGTCGTTGCGACGCCTCGCGATTACGTCGATGCCGCAAGCGGTGTTTCCCACGATCGAACAGCCGCGTCGGACACGTTACACACCGCGTTCCACGTCTCTCTTGGTAAAAAAAAATATCCCTTCCCCTCGTTGCGAGAGTCGCGGGATACCCGAAATAGATCGCAGAGTATAAAAAGAGAACGGGGCTCGGTGCCAATGCGACGGAATAGGAGAATTTCCGATCGTGTTACGCGCGTTTAATGTTTATATACATTACAAACGTAGTTGCTGATATCGTATTTTCCAAATGTCTCCGATAGTACGTAATTACATGATAAGATCGGCTTGTCACATGAAAGAATGATGAAGTCATCGGTCAAATTGAGCGCCAGTGATAAAATAACCAACGATGTTTAAACATGAGTCGCTGCGCAAATTGATGATAATTACGTGCGGATACCGCGGGATCCGGACTAAATACATATAAATAGTTAAGCCGAGAGAGATTGCTCGAGTTCAAAGAACGCGAGCTCGATAGACTTTGCTCGATCGTTTTGTTTTATAAAACGCTGTCTATTGAGCGATCGAGACGCGCGATTGGCGTTTGTTTATCAAGTATAATCAATTATTATACACGGCGACATATCAATATGCGCGAATATGTAATTCGCTGTGAACTCGGCCAATTGAGAAAATTGCATCATGGTGGACTTGGAACCTTATCGCGGCAATCGTTTACATGAGAAGTGTTTTTAATTTGCGATAGATCGTTCCGGTTTAGCGTTTCGTGCGCGTGAATTTTTTTTTCCTTGACTTGGTGCTGAGTTTTATCGGCAATGCACCTTGACCTATAACGAAACGGCGCTTCTACACGCAAAATAAAAAAAAAATCACCTAAACGTTTTGGTACAAAGTCCAAGTCGCGTATTTTTGAAATTTAACATACATATGTACACGTAAAAAAGAGAGAGAGAGAGAGAGAG